TATCGTCGTTTGTTGTTTGAGAATTTTGTAAATGCATGCGTGTATCTAAGCGTACAATGTTTAAAAATATTTATTTATAATTCGGCTTAATCAAAAATTAATATATATTTTGTAAACTTAATCAAATCAGATAATTAAATGATATATTAAAAATCGTTAATATATCATTATTATGTTACTTAACTTTAAATCTCAAAAAATTTTTTTTTCATTTTTTTTCTTTATTTTAATGAAGAAAGTATATATATATTTTTTCGAATTATATTCTATTTTGAATTATAAAAATATAATCAAAAATATATAATTAAGTTGTCGTATAGTTATCACAATTAATAATAATTTTATAAAATATAATATAAAAAATATAAAAAATAATATTATAAAAAATTATGAATGTATAAAATATGATAGATTACATAGCATGAAGCAATTCTTTTAATAGATTATCATTTCAAGGAAATGAAATTAACATTATAGTTTTTTTTTCAATATCTTTTTCTTTTTAAATATAATATTATGATTATATAAAGCAAGATTTAAAATAATAAAAAGATCTGGTTGCACTGCGAGAAATATTACAAGTAAAATTATATTCAAAAAATAAAAAAAATGATTTTTTTGAAAATAAAAATTTGTAAATTGATTTCATATATTCAAAGAAATTTAAAAAAAAATGTATAATTCATTAATGTTTTATATACTTATAAACTTCCGTTAAAATTTACAAATTGGATGAATTTTCTTATAAAATAATATGAAAAACTTTTATGATTGATTAAAATATATCATATTTTTAAAATTTATTATTCTTGAGATTTAATATTATTATACTTTATTTATTATTTTATTACTTTATTTTATCAAACTTTAATGTGTATAATAACTTTAATATTAATTTTTAAACTTAATGTTAATATTAACTTTTAATATTATAATGTCATTATTATTTACGATATCGATAAAATATAATATAATAAATATTATATTAATGTTTCGATCAATATATACTTGCTCAACATAAATTAAATGCAATTTCCTTTTTTTTCTTAAATAATTTAATAACGCAAAGATGTGAAAGATTTATTAGTATAATAAATAATAAATAAAGCAATTAAATATTAAAGTGTAAATATTAAATGTACATAATGTTTTCGTTGTATTTCATTAATCAAAAATATAATTTTCAATATCTCATCATATGAGTGAAAATCTAAAAAATTACAATAAAAAATTACAAAAAAGACATTGAATAATGTTTGTGTTCTACGGTATTAAATAATTTAATGTCAATTCTTCCTTAAAAATGGTATTTACAAGAAGAGAACAAAAAACTATTGTTATATTTTCCTTCAAAGACGACGATCACTCGTTTTCCTTTGTTCGCGACGGGAACCAGACATTTTCGCAATCGCATCGATGGTTCGCGCGTGCAACTCGATTATTCGTCCGCGTTTCGCTGAAAAATACAGAAACAAACGGCACCGAGATAACCGACCGCGAACAAGAGATAACGGAAACGAAAGAAGAGACTGAAGAACACGCGGGTAGATGACTTAGTGAACTGCATACAACACGAACTGCCACCGATATAGTAACGTCATTCATCGTGAAATATGGGAAATGAACGACTTATCTGTCGACAAGAATAATGTTCTGTCTTTCTTTTCATAAGCGTTACGATGAAACAAAAGAATCATCTTCAAAACGAAATGGGAAAATTCGGCGAACTTCTTCGGCTTGGCATTTGTTTCGAGAATTTGATTTATATGTGCAGACAATGATTTGATTTGTTAAATTAAACATAACATATCTGAAAATGGGACATTGCGTTCTTATGAAATATAAATATCTACATATATTCTAAAGATCCAAAAAAGAATTTTTCATACAAGGATGGTCTGGAAATAGATTTCTCATAGAAAAATAGGAAATAGATTTCATCATTGAAAATTATGAAAAAAATTATAAAAAGATTTTTTTAATATTTATATCGATATCATAATTCCATATCTTATTATCATTTCAATAAAACATTTTTTCATAATTTATTTTCTCATATTATAATCAATTTAGAGCAATAACATAACCTAATATAACCTAATAATAATAATAATAATAATATTTCAAAGGCAACTGTTAATAATACATATCAAGAATAGTACAAATTACATTATTCTATCTATCTCAAAATAATCAAGAAATCTTTCTTTGAAACAAATAAAATCAACAAGATTTCAAAAAATACTTTGTGATTGATTGTTCATTCGCACGAGATAAATATTTACTTAGAAGCAAATCGGCAAAGACTACAATTTTGTTGCGGCCTCAATTCATCGAGGGCGGTAGAATCGATTGTGAATGGCCATTGCTGGAATCCTTTTAGAACGCGATATATTCTACTCTTTTTCCGCTCTCAAAAATAGAGCTTCCAAGAGCCGAATAGATAAATATTTTTCCACGTTTCAAGCCGATTGGAAGCCGATTCGTCTAATAATTGCCATTATATCAAGCACGATAATTCTTAAAGAAGTGATTGATCTTAATCTTTTTTAAGTGTCAAATTTCTAGCGATGAGGTTGAGATAGATTTGATTATCGATATCGTTCATAAGTTCATTTAAATTGGACCATCATAGAGGATACTTCGTTTGTTTCTTGTGTGATTGGCAAGACGCCACGGGAAATACAATACATTTTTTATCGTCGTAATAACACTCAAATTGAGACTTTCTTGACTTTAAGATATTGATTTTCAAATGAAAAAAATTTCCACAAATCAATACAAAAACTTAATTTTTGTTCTAAACTTGAATACGAATTTTATTTGAAATGAAAATAAAAAATACCTAATTTAATCAGTTTCAACTGAATTATTATTCTTATTTTTTATTAGAAATAAGTTATTTATGTTTTATAGTAAAATAATCATTGTTAAATAATTTAATTTCTAGTTAAATAAAATGTTATCTGTATAATTATTTTTTAACATTTTACATATAAATATGCGTAATAATTTTAGTTTATTTGAAAAACTAAAATGATGTGAAACCTATTTACATAAATAAAATTTTTATTATGCTAAATACTTAATGAATTTTTTATGTCAATTATAATAATTTACATTGTCTGAGTCGTTTATTTTTGGAATATTTTACTTTGCAATATTTTACTTCACTTTATTTGTTGAATGTTTTTATTGAATTTTTTGAATTTTAGATGTTATTAACAAAGAATTAATAATGTAAATTGATTAAATTTCAATTTAATTTGTCGAAGAATTTTCTATTACGAATTCAAAGAGCGTTTGAAAGGTTTTAAGCTCTTTGTTTTATAAATAAATGTTTGAAATATTTTGTTATACGTCATTGTACGTCATTAAAAGAACAATATTTAAACAAACTATGTATGAAACATGAAGTTCTTTGTTACAAAAATAATTGCTTAAGTATTCTGCGAGTTAAAAAGTTTTTGATTGAACAAATTTATGATTGAAAAGACAATCGTTTAAATATTCTAATATTTACATAATACGTATATCTATATGATTTTCAAGCAATTCTAATGAAATTTTATTTAAAAGAATCAAATATTCCATATTATAAATATAACTATATAAATATTGAATTTTTACAAATAGCAATTAAATAAAAATTCAATTTAATAAAACTCAATCCTTTTATTACAGAAATAATAATTATTAGCTTAGTCTAATTTATAAATATGGAATTTGAACAAAATTGATGATTGTTGATCTACGAAAATAGGAGAGTAAAAATCATCGAATTTCAAAGTGATTCTTCTCACTCAAAAATACGAGAACAATATTTGAAACCAAACAGCCGTCGCACACCGATCATATCTTAATTCATTTCGCACATTTGTGTTATGAAAGTAGTATGGATTGGGTCTAAAGTTCAATCAACATACACATACACAAGCTCTACCGGCATGAATCACGAAAAAATCAGAGCTCATCGTTAGGTGACGCGACGCCAATGGCAAAACGCGATAAAAAATGTCCACGAATCAATGCAAAATTACGAAACCTCTCGATTTCAATAAAAAAAAATATTTTTCTCTAGATAAAAATACAGTCACTGCATTTAAGGTTAAAATACACGTGTGACATTTAACATTGAATGCTATTCTCTAATGACATGTTTCAAATTTCTACAATTATTTGTAGAAATTTATTTTCAGAAATATTTATTAAATAATAAAGTTTATGATTGAATTATATAAAAATTTTATTAAAGAATAAATTGATTTATATCACTACTATATTAATTTTTATTTTTTTTTTCTATTGAAATACAAACGTATAGCAATGTTATTAAATAATTAATCTTGTATATAAATCATAATTTATTTAATACAGATTTAGATATATTTAATAGAATGATATATTAATTTCTTGAAATTTATATAAATATTTCTATTATATGTCATTTCATTGAAAAATAGTTTTCATGAATGTAATGCGCATGCGTAGAATGCACGCGTATATTAAACACAACATATTCGACTATGTGCGCGCATGCATGTACATTGCATATTTATGAATAACTACACGAAGAAATCACGTGTATGTTTTCGACTTTATAAATTTGTAAAGAGAAATTTTATTATCAATGAAAATCGATACAAAATAATCTAACGTTAATATAATCGAAAAGTAAACATATTAATTATGTTAACAAAAATATATCATATGATCAAAGTAAAATATTTAAACATTGTTGTTTTATATATATCTTTTTGCATGAAAATATAAAAACAATATTATGAAACTAAGACATATATTTTAATGTATACAAATTTGATTTATATAATTTTTAATTTTTTATTTTATAAAATAACTAAATATTCACATATCATAATAAAAATCAGTATTTATTTATAAGTTAATTTCAAAAGAATTGCTATTAATATAAATCGCGAAAATATGTATTCTATATGCGCGTATAGAGAATAACAGTTACAAAGAGAATAAAAGTTTACCTTTGAACGTATTCCGGACGAGAGTCATGCTCATATTCGCGTGAGCGCGAGCCAATGCTCCCAGAGGTACGTCTTGCGTTTCTTCGACGATTCCGCCAGGTTGAATAATTCTATAGCCGCAGCACGTCTTGCGATCCCGCTCAAGAGTTCGTCCAGCGTGATCTGTGACGTATCAAGGTACAGCAACGCATGGTTGTACTACTACTTTCCGTTTTTCTGTTGAATCGACCGATAAATAAGTTGTCGATACGAAGTAACGATAATCGCCTGGTCTCGTATTGGAGAACATAGATACGAAATACAGGTCTTAACGTCCGTTCGTGCAACAGTTTAATGATGAAACAACAGAGAAAAATAGTCAGCACGATGCGTCGTGTGCTTTCGAAACAACAAATCCAAATGTTATTTCACATCCACCGTTCCAGTGCACATTTGTTTAATGTCATCTCTTGTTCTGTCTTTCATTTGCTTTTAGGTTACGTACAGTTATGACCGGCTGCTTCGTATATATAAGAATCAAGTGAATATTATCATTGCGTCTTCGTCACCGATGATTGAGTATCGGTATTCAGATATCCACATGCCGGCGAACGGCTTAAATCATATGACAAGCACAAATGATCAGCATTTGTTGCGACCGCAATCGTTAAAAGCAATCGTATCACCGCGCGCACAACGAGTTCAACGAAACACAGGAATGTTGATCACGTTTCTTCTCTTTGATGCGAAATAGACGAATAAGCCAAGTGTTAAATATGGAAGAGACAGAAAAGGAGCGATAAAGTGATAATAGGGACAGAGGTGAGAGGTGGTGAAGAGAGCAGCCAAAAGATGAGGGAAAGAGAGAGGTTATGTGCAGACGACGACAGGAGAAATTCCAGCGGGCGGCAGCGCTGAGGTCCACGGATAGTTCATTCGTTCCTTCGTTCCCCTCGTCCGATAAGTGACGATTCCACGACGATGATTCGAGAGAACCGATTGGGTGGGACGCGTTTTAGCCTTGTTGGATTTTCGATGTCCGTTTCGTCGTATATGTCAAAGGTCGATAATTACGACAATCTTGAGATTTTTTGAAGGATTTTTCAAACGGAAGAATAGATAATGAAATTTTATTTATTTCTTTTACATCCTCAAGTATAGCATGCTTTATCGTATGTAGATTTATTTAATTTCGCGTCCATACAAAAAAATCTTCTTTTGATTATCCTTTTGTGTTGATTCTTCTCGTTCGTTGTTTGAAAAATTGCTCAGATTCACACAAATAAGTATCGAAGAACGAATTTATAATATGGTGCGATACACTAAGGATTTCCTAATTAATTACACTTACACTCTCTCTTAATAAACCAGGATAAACGAAAAGAACAACGAAAACTAGAGGAAAGCAGCGTGCACTAGTTATATCCTTGGAAACGATTTGTGCAAAAAGCGATACGCTGCTCTTCTTCTGCCGCTTCCTCCTCCACCGCCTTTTCCTTTCCTACCGATTCTTTTCATTCGCGTACGCGTTTTCCCACGCACCGAAGCAAAAAATACACACTTACGGAGGCAGACTGGAGGGAAAGAATAGCGGGAAAAAGACGGAGAGAAGAAAGGAACGAGGGAAGTGCGATGGTAATCGGGAGCTGATGCTAGGGCATCGTAGAGAGCGGGCAAGGCAGAAATGTCGGTGTTACTACCAACTTGGAGTAGCAAGCACCGGTAAAACACGGTCCTAACTAACACACATGGAGACAGATTGGGGACTGCTGCTTCGGAGTTTACTATAGGATGGGACGGATGGTGATGGCGGCCGTAGCAGAGCAGCCACCGCCCCCATGCTTCTTCTCTCTCTCTTCGTCTCCCTCGTCCGATTCGAACGCCCCCACCACTAGATCTCTTTGCTACTTCCCTCCACTCTCTACTTCTCTCCGTAACCGTCCCAACTGTTCTCCTATTCTCCCCTCTATGCGTTATGATGGACACGCTGGAACTCCCCTCCTCAACATCTAACTCACCCCCTTTCTCTCCCACTCTCTTACGTTTCTCTCTACTTACATACATTTCCTCCTCTTCCTCTTGCTCTCCACAGGTTTGCTCGCCTTCCCTGGGCTATGAGATGTTATTCTCAAGCGATTCGTGCATACTATATATTCGTCTACCCGTGTCGTCGCCACATCCCCTACCTGCGTCGCATCTCGGCGTGTGCGTTGGCCGCAATCAAGGTCAGGAATGTAACCAGCCAACTACGGCGCCCTATGCTATCGATTCTGTCGCAAATTTCTTGATAATAACACAAATGGAGTAGCTAGAAGAAACTTATAATTGTGTACATTGTTTTTACTAATGTAATAATTTATGAATGCGACGAAGTTTCTTATCGTGGCTCATTCGTTCACCGGAAACCTGGTATCTTTTGGCTCATTGGCTCATGGACGTGATTGCCTCGTTATTTATCTACTGAAAGGAAGGATGCGTGTTGCGTCGATATTATATTTTCTTCTATATGACTTCCTCTTCACGTGTTCCGAATGCGCATCCTCGAAGATACTTCTCTGAAATACTGCTCGAATAGGATGTGTAAATCTACGAGAATGTTGCCATCAAGTATATTCACGTCAAATAAATTTCCGTAGCTATTTCGTAAAGGAAAATAGCTTTCAAGGAAAATAAAAATAAATGATGAAAATATTTTTTAACGTAAGAAATTTTTTTTTTTTAATCTTATAAAGTGATTTATCAAACAGATTTTCAGTTTATGAATTGAAAAGTATAAGATGTTTTGCAATCATGACTCGAATACCTCGAACTCGACTCGGAAACGAGATAACGTTCGGTAGCGCGTGCGGTTATCTTCGTCGATTCCCTTGACTTTTCACCGCCATGAGGTATGTAATACGTTTTAAAGTAGACAAGAAGCTCTTATTTGCGATGCAACCTAACGACAATACAATGATATCAATAAAATTTTCCATTCGTTCTTCTTCCTATTAAGAATAGTAACCAATGATAAACGATCAAATTAAAAATCAAAAAACATTCTAACAAAATATATTTAATATATCTAATATTACTTAATAAATAAATGAATTACGAAACATTGATCAATATATTAATAATGCTAATAATAAATGTATTAAATCGATTATTAAATCAATTTAAAATTCAAATTATCCATTTAATATTCTACAATTTCTTGCATTGATCATTGTTTTCTTTGAAGAATCAAATAAATCTATAATTATGTCAAGAAGGAAAGGACACAAGAAAGTGAAGTTAACCTAAGCATGGAGAGCTACAAGTTAGCTTATCATTGAAATTACGATATTAACGGTTAATGTATATGTATAACCGCGACGAAAGCAGAGACGGCAAGCAGTGGCGGCAGTGTCCGATACTATTATTAGTGTGCAGCTGCCTGCGAATTACTGAATGAAAGGGAAGGACCGCTTCGAAACAATATCCGAAAGAGACGGGAGGCACGTTGCATCGTTTAACCGACAGTCATCCAATGATTATTTAGAGCCAGATATACGCATGTGTGCGCTATCCAACGAAAATCGCACGAAAATCGTACATAATGGTCATGAATTAATTTCTAAATTAATGCATATTTCTTCATACTGGATTTAATTGAACTTGAAAAATTCTTGAATTGATTGATACGAATACAAAATTTATTATTTATTGAAAGCCGTGATATATTATTTTCAAAGTTATCTATTACATATTCGAATTTGCATATTGGTATTACAAGAAGTATAGGCAATTTTTAATATTATATTAGCTGCTTTGAAAGCGAAAGAATAATCCGACATGGAATCTTCTCTGATAACTATAAACGTTGATTCACATACAAGGAGAGAATTGTTTGTGAAATTAATTTGTGAGATGGTCATACATCTATTTTAGTCCCGAGTCATATGGAAGAATAAACATATATGTGTATATGTTATGTATACATATACTTCGGACTCGAGAGGATTGGAACAACTTGAGAAAAATCTTCTGAATAATTTGTATGTACTTTTTTCATTAGTATTATATTATTATTGTATATTAATTATATTTTGTTATATAATTTTAATATAAAAAATTGTTTAAATTTCTTACTTTTTTTATAAATTTATAAATTTTATATAAAAATTGTTAATCTTGAGAAAATTGTTAGTGTTGAGAAAAATAAAGAAATAATTATTAATAATAAAAGACAAATAAAAAGAGACTGTACACAATTTTCTTGTGTTCAAGTGTTAAACGAGAAGCGTCAGACTGCAATCGTTTAAAGCTGACTTATATATCAGCGAAAGCATAGTTGGACCATCTCCATTCAACGAGTACTGGCAATTAGAACCAATAGTTGCCGACCCTTTCTCCCAAAGGTCTTGTCTCGAGGTGTTGAATTTCTTGGTATCTCATCAATTGAACCTCCTCATTCCAGTATCTTAACAGGATACTCTAAGAACTCTTTTAATTAGCTATTTTATTATCAATTTTCTAAAACTATGATGATTATCTCGAATTTTGCCAAAATAATTCCTAAAAAAAGGTTATCAATAACGAAAATACAAAAATCATAATTTCTTAATTTCTTTTAAATTCTCTTTCAAAAATTGTTCGACTTGTTATATTCGTTTCTTAATTGAAAGTGTTATAGAATAGAGATTGTTGTTATCCTAATGATAAGAAATCAGTCCAAACATAAGATCTCCTTTCGTGGATACGGTACTGCACGATCTCTGGCGTGGCGGGTCCAGCAATGACGCGGAGATCACCGAGCGTGTCCGAATTCGGCCGATGTTAATCGAGTGGGAGTTGAATGTACTATGTGGTGGGGGTAACGCGTCTTCTTCGAAGGGGAATTCCCCGATGCTGGTGCGGTGTGGTGACCACACCGTGTCCCTTTTTGTTGCCGCCCATTAGGCGCCACCGCGGCGTGATTCGCAACCGTGTTTCTTTATCTTTGCTGTAGCTAGAGTCTGCAAACGTAACCGATTGCACGCGTTCTTTCCTATCTTTTCACCCTGTCTTTTTTCTATCCTTCCTCAATATCCTTCCCCTTCGGACAATAGCAGAGTGATTCACCGGGCGTAGGTACGATGTTTCTCTGTACATATGCGCGGAGATAAGTCGCCGCGTGCCACGTTTCGAGTTCCGCCTCTCAACGCATTATGATCGTGTTTCGACTTTTGAATTGTAGATAAAAATATAGAAACTGTTCTGAGAAGTATTTAGGCAAAAACTTAGGAAAGAATTCCTTTTATGACCTATTAAGTGAAGAACATTTATAAAGATATTTTAGAGGATATTTCTGTTTCTTATTATTGGTTTGTAAGAATTTATTTCTGAAAAATATACCTTTCCTTGTTGTTTAAAGTTTATAATATAGATCTCTTTTTTCTTAAACGACACTTAGGACCTAGACTTCGAGATTTATCTCGCTTATCACGTCTTGAAGATTGATATCTTTTAACTGAGTACTATCATTGTCCTCGAAAGCTTTTATCTTGAGTTATAAATTAATCGACAATGATAGGAATAATAAACGTTCGACGTGAACGTTTTTTTCCCGTTTGGTCCGCTCCAATTGAAGATAATCTTTTTTTTTTATTCAATATTTTTTTTTACGAGTTCATTGAGCTATGGAATCATATAGAATTCGATTTTTTATCTTTTATGGATAGGAATGAGAGAATGTAACTACGCAGCGTAGATTAATTGAATAGAAAAGCTAGTCCATACTTTATTCGCTTATTGCAAGGAACATCGGTCAATCGTGTTTTATCAGAGATTGCTTTCTTTTTATCCAGATAACACGTGCCTTTGTGCTACCATCTTTCACGAATGACTGATGCGTTGGCTCGCCTTCTCGTTTTTTAGTTCATACATCGATGAGTTCATTGCGACGGATTGAATTTTCTATGATTCATAATGCGCAAGATGATCGCGAATTTTAAATTATTCATAAAATTCTTCGATAAATTAAATTTATGTTTCGAAATCATTATAATATTAATATTATAAAATTGTGATCTCAAAATAATATTAATTCAAAGTTAATTTTTATTAAAATATTATATTATTATGTTGATAAAGATTTCAATTAAAATAC